AGTGGCTGGCCCAGCCCTAAACCATGACATGCCCATATGCAATCTCAACTTTTCTGGAACGCAGGGACAGTATAGGCTGAAACTAAGGACATGTTATAAAATACAGAGAAAATATGTATAACTATCAAGTTTGGTGGTCTTAACAACTGGAATCTGCATCTGTTGAGTCTCCTTAGAAGAAAACAAATCTGATCTAGCTTCCCAAATATTCAGGAATATTCACTTATTTATTTTCTTATGACTGTGCCATAGGAGTGTGGGAATATGAGTGACAAGGGGAAAGGCTGAAAAATAAGAGTTAATGATAGCATAATAATAACATTTTGCTTAAAAGTCTGCATATGTGATATGATGTGATACAGAATTCTATTCTACGCACCTATGCCTTTGACACATTCAGTCCCCGACACTTGTTCTTGACCAATTGTAACAAAAGATTCAAACACATTGTACAGCACCTGAAAAGAAAAGTAGACTAACTTAATATTTGCTCCTGAATTAAACCTATTGAAATAGACTCATTATGGGCCCCAACATTATGAATTCTGAAATTATGTATGAGTGAGGGAAATTCTGTGTGAAGGGAGAAGATTTTGAAGATTTTTTAATTTTTCAAAATGGGAAAAATTTAGTGGAGCAAGAAGGACCAAAATCTAAAAACCCCAACTTTGCATTCCTCATTTGAATATGATTTCTATCTAGAAGAAGCATTGTTACATCTAGTTGTGTTTTCTAAAGCACTTCTTACTCTAAAATCTGGCATTTATTTAATCACCTGTATAAAGTAAATAAGATATTAAATAAGATAACAAGCTATTAAATAAGATAAATAAGATGCTATCAATAAGATAATGGATTTAGATAGGCTGAATATATGTAAAATAAATTGAACATAAAAGAAAATAAATTATATAACTGTATTAAAGCTTTTAAAATAATTGACTAACAGTGACTGTGCAGAAAGTAAAGAATTAATCTTATTCATACCCTGCCTAAGGAGGTTTGAATGAGCATCATTCTTGACAGATGCCTGTATAATCTATTCTTAATTCCTCCAATGATTGAGAAGATCATTACTATGGCTTTCCCAGCTTTCCTTGTTGCAGCTAAGCTTGTTAATTCTTATAATTCTTATCATATTTCACATCACATATTTCCTTTAAAGAATGCTACATCATCCACTTTCTTCTGTCCTCCAGCCTTTCGTTTTTCGTGGTGAAAACTCCAGTTGTTTCAGTTTTCTCGCAGGCTATGCTTTCTGACTCTTGATCATGTTTACTTTTCCCTTCTGGATTTTCTTCAACAATCAGACCTTCTTTTATTTGTAGAGTGAGTGTTTGTATTCAATGCACAGTAACAAAATCTCCTTTTCTTTGGAAAGCTGGTGATGTTGACACTTGAGTTCATCAGGTGTTTATTTTAATATTTGTTTCTGGTAAAAGTACTAATGAGAGTGATATTTAAAGGCAAATTAGGTTTTCCTTTTCTTTCTAAATGAAAAAAAAAACCCACAAACCAGAAATTAATGTTACCAAAAAAACCTCAAACCAAACCAGAAACTTTCTAAAATGTCCCACAATTTTTCCCAAAGTGGCTCTTTGTTATATATCTGTTTGATAAACATCTGATTAAAGTAAAAGAGAAGGAACAGGCATAAGCATTATGGTGAGTATTCTCTCTCTCACTGTCTGTATAACCAAGGTATGCATATAAATTATGGGCATAACATAAATAAGCAGAAAAGAGAATGTGCATTAAAAAACAACAGCAAAGAAAGGCTTAAAATCCCCGAAATTAATTTCAGTAAGTCATGAAAGCGCTACTTGAACAGCAAAGGCAAATAAAACATACACACCTTCATTTTACATGTTTTTATGTTCATCCAACCCAGGACTGTTTATTTTTATGTGACTTATGAGCTCCAAATATCTTTCATGCTCAAACATTTTATCTTTCCAATACAGTGTTTGTAAACAAGACAGAGAACATCATAAGCTACACTACACTAGCCCATGAGCAGATACACACAGATAGATGATACTATATTTCATTTAAGGAGAAAATACACTTCGGAGGAAACCCTCTAGAATTTGGGTGACTTTGGGGTCTATAATTTACTTACCACAGTTACAGCATCATTAAGAAGTGATTCTCCAAAAACAATGATGAACAGAACTTCGTTGACATGGACTTCTTCGAACACTGCCAGAACAGCTACAGGATCCACGGCAGCAATTAAGCTGCCAAACAGGAGAAAGTCCAGCAGTCCGGTGTTCAGGTGGCCTCCAAAAACAAAGTCAACAAAGTATAAGCAGAGTCAGCTCTGTACTCTTAGTAATGACAGACTGTGATATTACAGATAATTTACAGTCTTTGAAAACAGGGCTCCTAAAGAATCAACTGGAAAGCATGGCACAGACACTACTTTGCAAGTTCTGCATTGCATCACCTTGCATCCTGCAAGGTTTATTGGATCCAGCATCGGCCCACGCGTATCAAAGTTGATCGTGGGAGCAGTACAGTCCTGATCTTATGGCACGGCATTTGAGATAAGTATTTCTAGGTCTGAACTGACTTTGTATTTGTATGTGATATGGTTTATCTAACTTGGGTAAATTATTTGAGGATAACTGAAAACTGACAAAGTGTTAAGAGGAATATACCAATTCTCCTGAAGTAAATGTTGCAAAATACTTCATGCCACAGGCCAAATTTTACTTGCTGTCATGAAGAACTGCTGCAGAGAGTCTTAACTGCACTCAGTGCAGTTAAACACCACTTGTGGCCTTGTTATTCAGGTAGACACTCATTGATTGGTGCAGTTAAGCCAGTTCTTTCCAAATTATGATTCATAAGGCCACTGTTAAATTGTCCACAAGTGGACCATAAAAACAGATGAAGGACTAAAATGTACTTCGACATGTTTGTATTGGAGTCCCTTAGGAATTTTGGCAGTAGTTTCAAAAGATTCAGAACCACAAAACTCAGATGACAAAGTAGCCCAGTATTTATTTAATTTTTAAAATCTTCTTTTAGTTATTAAGGTTATTTTGTTCAGTTATGCAAACAGACTGAGACAAGCATCACTATTGTTTTAGAAGTAACAGAAAGGGAGAGCCACAAAGATCGCTTTGCTCAACTTCCTAAATATCTTGCAAAATTTACCCTTTTCATGGAACCAAGAGTGGTATCTCAGTCAGTTTTTTTTCTGGTAGACAGGTTTTTGAAAGTGTAGAGAACATAAAAATTCCCTCTGTGTTTGTTAATGGATGGTGGAGGAAGCAGGGTTCATTAAGAGGTGTTGAAGCCCAAAATTATATGAAGAAGAGCAAAGAAGGAATTTGTTGAGAGTTCATTCATCAGAACACAGTGCAGAGGCCTATGTCCCAAATTAATAGACAGTTGTATCAGGCATGATTTCTTCAGGTGAGGGAGAAATCCATCTGATTAAATGATTTGGAAGCATGAGTCAGATAACAACAGTCAGTAGTCATAGCCAAAGGATCAATATTGCCTGTAAGGTACTTCCAGAACGACACGGCCAGTACTCTAGGAAGAACTCTTACAAGACAATTTTTCAGATTCAGAATGTTTTGTGCTTGGAAGGTAATTGAAAGAGAAACTAGACCCCAAATATTTTTGATACAAAATGGCATGGACATATTTACTCAAGAGACGGACACTTACATAGGCAGCCAGAGACAGAAGTACACAACACACTGTTGTACACAACAATGGCCAATAATCTGGGGGAGCTACAGAAGTACATATACTCTTGGCTGCTGTCTGTCAGTCAGAGAATCTGCAACGTTTTCCATACAGTTTATAGGGACCTTGGTAAGGCCGTGAAAACAGAAAATCATGGTTTTCAAAGGCATAGAACTACTCTGTATTTTCAAAAAGAGAAATAGTATCGTTCACTCTTTGAAATACTGGGCTGTGAATGAGGACTGAATCTACCCATTGTAGTGTGAGAGAGGAGTTGAAGCAGTCAAATGAAGTCTGTGCCAAAAATTCCGAGAACAGCCTTGAACCTGAATCTAAGTAATGGTTTCATCAGAGGTTGTCCTTCTCTGCCATGCATAAGGAAGGAACACACCCAATGACAATAACTGACAGATCTCAGGATACAATAGAACCTAAGCTTTTAAAATAAATTGGCTTACTGAGATTGCTTATCTTTTTTATATGTTACTAATTATAATCATTGGTACATTCTTCGAAGACTTGCAAAGCTAGTCAGCAAATATTTATGGAAAGGTTAGGAGGCATCTGTAATTCCTACAAAGCAGTGTCAAGAAGCTTAGGATTTCTAAATCAGACTTTTATTGAGACTAATAATGCAAGTTATTTCCAACTGATACATGACCATTGCTTCCTCCAGCTCACCAGAGTGTGGACTGACTAGCTGCCAGCAGTGGCACCTGAGCAAGGTAAGTTTGCAGGGCCCAGTTTAAGACTTCCACAACTATTCAGCGTGTTGTTGCTATGACCTAGATTGTACAGGAAAAACTTTTCTAAGCATTAGCCTCAACCACAATTATTCTACAGAGTAGTGCTGCATGTGTTAGTCCTCCAGCAGATGATGAACAGTTAGGTGCAATCAGACAGGAAGATTTAGGGTTAGATACTTCTTCCTATTCTGTGAAAGCAGACTGATAAGGCTGTTAGTTAATAGTTAAGATGCTGATCTTTTCATTTCCCTTCCAAAGAAGGATTTCTTCATTATTATCACCTTATCTCTTTTCCTTCTGCAAATTACAGTGCCTATAAGGATATCGAATGCAAACAAAGAGCTGCTTCTATGTGTATTTATGTAGGAAATCTATGTAATCCAATTTGGATTATGCACTCTCATATTGATGGACAGTACTACAGGTCTATTCAATGGTAAAGTTGGAAGCAATTTATTTTTAGTTCATCTTAGTCTGTAGTGGATATGCATGCCTACATTTAAATGATATTACTTTTAGCATTATTCACTCTAATTGTAGAAAAAGTAGAGTAGAAACAAAAAATATTCTGTAGAGCTTCAACCAGAGGCTGCTATGAACTCTTCTAGAAATTTACTCAGCATTCTCCCATCTTTAGCAAGTAACAGCAGCAAGGCTTTTTGCAAAGTGTGGTGCTCAGATCTTGTTAACATCTTGGAGGTCAACACAATGTATTTAGTAGATTAATAAGATTGTGTCACATAGATATTTTAAAGTCCTACTTAGCTTTGCTGGAGACTGACATAGTTTGAATCAGGGACAGGCTCCTCTGGCCTTTTCCATAGCTGAAATTAGAACTCTTGTAGGTTATAATGTGTTTTGGTGGTAAAGACAGGTCCCTACAGTATACCAGTTAATGGTCATTCTAAACATTTAAATTCACCAGGCATGTCAGTTTATTGTTTGCCTTTGTTAACATCAATATTTTTAGCTTGTAGAGCTTTAGCTGTGACCTGTGATCACACCTGAGGCTGATTCTTCTGTTTAACTAAGCTCAGAGTTCTAGTATATCTGCCACTGAAAGGTTGGCATAAGGATGAAGCAGAAAATGTAGTCATCAAATTCAGCTTTTACAGTTAGTCAATAATTGTTTGCAGATTGGGAGGAGAGCAAGAGATAAATGGATTTTTCACTCAAAATAAAATTTTTGGGAAAACACTTTTCCATTTCACATCTCATAAAGAGCTCAATGCTATTCCTTTAATTATTCTATCAACTTCTTTTTAAAAGTAATTATAATTCACTATATTCCCCTGAACAGGATGTTAATAAAATTTTTTTGGTCATATTTTTTGAATTGTTCAAAGCAGCTCGGATATTTAAAGAAAGAAATCCTTGTCCAGTCTGTTGCAATATCCATTTGCCACCTTTTTTTACATCTCACCTATCTATAAAATTCAATAGTGTCTGCATCTGAGCTGTCATCATTGTATCTTCTAAAAACAAATACTTATGAAATATGACTTATCGTAAGATATCTAAAGTGCAAGCTAAATCTATCATAGATGTCTATATTGCAAACATTGGCAATTATGTATGATGAGTCTCATATGAACAAGTCTGTGACATTGTTCTTCAAGGTGGAATTTCAAACAAGGACAACACAGGTTTCCCTTAAAAATGGATGGAACTGATAACCCAATCACTTTCAAAGAACCCAAATTCTGCTACTTTCCTGTGCTGGACAATGGGAACAGTTTTTGAGGCTGGAAAATTTTTCTATGGTATCTTCTGTAATAATCAGCTAATAGTTTAATTCTTCATCACAAAAATGCTCTCTGCAACATTTGCAGCTTCCGATGTTTCAGGCACTCATTTTATCTGGACTGAGAAGGAAGTCTGTGGTAAATGGCTCTGTGTCAATTTTGCACCACTGTGGTTAGAGAAGAGCCCATGAATACCTGTTGAGCCTTTTGTACAACACAATGCACCCCTTATGGTCTTGGAGCTTCAGGATCTCAGCACTGGTTGCCAAGAACAGATGGGCAGAGTGCACAGGCACAGAAGCACATTATAATTGTACTGCTCTCAGCAGGACTCAGATGTGCTCTGTAATTTTTTTCCAGAACTTGCTAATCTAGGAGTATTTTGTCCTAAATGGGCTCTTGAGCTTCTGCAGTACAGACACTTAAAAATATTAGATAGGATGCCTGTTGCAAAACACATACCATCCGCGTACTATGTGAAATATTATTCTTCAAGTGGCAGTACATAGCTTATGTGCAGGCAACATCTGCTGAGGAGATTTAAGGACTGCTATTCTGTGTCTCTTCTAGCAGCATGACGCCCTTACATTGTAGTATAATTAAGACAGAGTGCATCTTACATGTGCTACTTGGCTCTGTAAGTCTTCAGTTACAATTTCCAACCCCAAAAGAGATGTGTCATACTTACATAGCCACTGAGCAATCATTGCTTACTTAATATTAAAGCTGACTGAAGGAAGGCAGTTTAATTTCGCAGTAGCTTTGAGGGTTTCTATCAGAGCAGAAAGAAACAAGCCCTTCAGAGTGTATTTTTGTCCAGATGTCCATTAGCAGGATGAATCCTGAGCTTTATCCTCAGATTGTACGCACACATTTAGAGGAGGGAAATGTGAGAGACGCAGGTTCAAGTCCCTTTTGTGCTTGCTTCAGAGAAGATTTATCAGATTTTTCTTGAATTTGGTAAAAAATGCTACAAATTGCTCCTGTTAAAATCGGATTTTTCTACTGAAAATGATTGTTAAGTTGTAAAACATCACCTGTCTAACAGCTGGTATTCAGTAGCATTCACAATTGTGCCTTCACAGATCAAACTTACCCATTATTCCTGTCTGATAGACACCATAGAGAGATAAACCGGTTGTGGCAGCATTCCAGATTGTCCCAATGACAGCATACAAAAGGATGGAGCCAAGATTTCCAAAGAACAGTCTATTTGGCATGAAATATCCAGCATCCAAAACAATGGGGGGCAGCAGGTAGAAGAAAAATACGGTTGGTGTAAGGGCGAAGGAAGCAATGTGATCTGCTGCCCATACAATGCCACCAAGGATGAGACCAAGGACGATCAGCAGAGCACTCTCTGGAACCACTCGAGTGACTTTGTGAGACAAGTGGAAAACTGCAAGGAAAGAGGGAAACAGTTTGTCAGAACTGGAATGGAGAAACAAACTGAGCAACAAGTTACCTGGTAATTTTGACTTCACAGGAACCTCTTGCTTTAATTGCTACTAGACCCAAAACTGTGCATGGAATGCTTGGGATACAGACAGTGTCAGAACCCAGCCACTTACAACATAAAAGAAGAGCTGATTTTCATATATTATCCAGTATATTTCTTATGAAATATGAAACCAATATTCTGTTACATTTATTTCCTTTATTGGATTATCTTCTCCATACAAGATTTGGAAAGATGTTGTTCTCTGCAAAACAGGAAGTGCAAGACTGAAATGAAATTGTAGAATTGCGGAAAATGTATGACTTTATGGTTTATTTCTGTATCTAAAAATACACATCTGACCTCCCAACAGTTGTCTTTAAAAATTATCAGTATACTAGCAGGTTTATTGAAGGATGGAAGAAGAATGCTGAAAGAAGGTCTAGTTTCAAGACAACACTTTGTATATTTATGAAGAACATTATATGACAATGTAGCCTGCAGCACGAGCAGATTGAAGCTGATATTATGGGAGATCCTCTTTGAACCTTTTCCTCAAAATCTCCCTAGTAAGGGTTTTAATTAATTCAGAGATTTTCTGGAGAAATTAAGGCTTTAGTGGTGTCTTCTTCATGTATATTCACAGAATCACAGAATCACAGAACGTTAGGGATTGGAAGGGACCTCAAAAGATCATCTAGTCCAATCCCCCTGCCGGAGCAGGAACACCTAGATGAGGTTGCACAGGAATGCATCCAGGCGGGCTTTGAATGTCTCCAGAGAAGGAGACTCCACAACCTCTCTGGGCAGCCTGGTCCAGTGCTCTGTCACACTCACCGAGAAGAAGTTTCTTCTCAAATTTAAGTGGAACCTCCTGTGTTCCAGTTTGTGTCCGTTACCCCTTGTCTTATCATTGTTTGCCACCGAGAAGAGCCTGGCTCCATCCTCGTGACACTCACCCTTTATATATTTATAAACATTAATGAGGTCACCCCTCAGTCTCCTCCTTTGCAAACTAAGGAGACCCAGCTCCCTCAGCCTTTCCACATAAGGAAGATGCTCCACTCCCATAGGGCTCATCTTTGTAGCCCTACGCTGGACTCTCTCCAGCAGTTCCTGTCCTTCTTGAACTGAGGGGCCCAGAACTGGACGCAATATTCCAGATGCGGTCTCACCAGGGCAGAGTAGAGGGGGAGGAGAACCTCTCTCGACCTACTGACCACCCTCCTCCGGATACACCCCAGGATGCCATTTGCCTTCTTGGCCACAGGGGCACATTGCTGGCTCATGGTCATCCTGCTGTCCACCAGGACATGGGAAACAGTTCTGCAATAGGCTACTTAGGCTACTTTCTTTTGTATAAACACTGTAATAAAATCTGTACCCTACAGTAGTTTGTAAAATCTATTATGCATATAGTATCTATTGTAGAAAAAACTTGTAATGGTATGGTGTGGTAAGACTATTAAACTAGCCAATAATTACAAGGAGAGAAATTTATAGAGTGCCATAGTGAACCTAAAGAGACAGAATGATGGTAAGGCCAAGACAGAAAAAAACAGACTGTTCAAGATGACAGAAACACAAGTATGTAGCAAATACATGTGGCTACATGTATTTATAGTGCACTTATTAAGTATCAGATAAAAGAAAAAAAAAGCAGAGAACAACAGAGCGATATCAAATCTACAAAGAAAGATGGGACATGAAAAGGGAAGAGGTGGCAAAGGTGTTTGAAGAAAATCCCACTAAAAGCCACTGAGTTTCTCCTAGTTTGAGCATCAGCCTGGAACTGTGTTGAATTATTTACAATTCTAATGCAAGTTAGCTCAAAACTAGTTTGGGCAAGAAGACATCATTAAGACTTACAGCCTTTAAGGTATAGTGGACAAATCTTTCCCATGACGATGCAGAGATCTTAGACCAGGTTACTTTACTGAAAGACCATTGTTTTTCCTCCCAGACTAGTGTTTGTCCTAGTCAAACATTTACTAGTTACCTCTTAGAGTGTTTTAAGGGCCCATTCCTGAACTGTCTGTCCTCGTCTTGGCTGCATCTACACAGGCAATGTTAGAAGCATCATCCATCATTATAGTAGCCCCACAATAAAATGGTTTCTAACAGTGGTAGAACCTCCATGAACTCATCAGAATATAAAACTCAAAAGGAAAAATGACAGTGGCCTGTCTATACCAACAATGAGCATGAATGTAGATGTTCCTAAGTGCTTGCAGTCAAGACTT